GGATATCAGGCTGACTGTGAGAGACTGTCCGGTTGGTATATATTCTGGAAACAGAGCCGATTGGACTTACTGGTGGATTAAATTTGGGTAGTGGGAATTAAATAGGGTAGTGGGAGTGGGATCAAGATATACTTGTGTATGTGTCTCTGCCTTTCAAGGAATAGAGGATAGAGAAAAAAAGATGTATTATGTGTGTGTGTATATATATGCATGCACATAGTAGGTATGTACATCTCTCCTGGGGAATGTTTTATATAATGTTTTATGTATATGTACAATGGCTTTAAAGATCAGAAGGATTACTATATATAGTGAGAAGTACATCTTTTAAAAACAAAACAAAACACTTATTTGAAAGAGTCACCAAGAGAGGGAGAGACAGATCTGTCGTCCGCTGGTTCACTCCCCAAATGGCCGCAGTAGCTATGTCCAGGGCAGGCAGAAGCCAGGAGCCAAGAACTCCATTCTAGTCTCCCCTGTGGGGTGCAGAGGACCAAGTACTGTGTCATCGGCTGCCTTCCCAGGCACATTTGCAGTGGAGTATCTTACTCTGCACCTGGCACTCTGGTGTGGGCTGCTGATGACTGTGAAAGTGGACGGAGGGACTTAACCCTTACACCACAATGCCAGTCCCTTCCACTACTTCACATTCATAGCATCCTGCCTGGATTACTTCAGTAGGTCCTAACTGGCTGTCTTGCTTCTGCTCCTGGAGGATTCACTCCTGGAGTGAATCCTCAACATAGTAGCCCCTAAAAGATCTTTTTAAAATGCAAGTCAGATGATAAATATTTAAATGGCTTCCCAATCAACTAGAACAAAAGTCGAGGAATTTTTTTTTTCTTCCTTTAAACACAGAGTGACAGAGAAGGAAAGACAGAGATCTTAGATCCTCTGCTTCACTCCCTAAATGACCACAGTGGTCAGGGCTGGGCCAGGAGAAGCTGGGAGCAGGCAGCCAGTAACTCTATCCAGGCCTTCATGTGGGAAGCAGAGTGGCCAAGACCCAGATGGGGGCTCTGATATGGGATGCTGCACCCCAGGCGGCAGGTTAAGCAGTTGTGCTACAATGCTGGCCTCCAAGTTGAAGTTTCATAGTTGCCTACGAGGTCCTGGCCAGTCTGGCCTCAGATAACTCTCTGGTGTCATCTTTTACTACTTCCTTTCTCTCATTCTTCTGCAGCCTCACTGGCTTCCCTGTAGTTCCTCAAACACCCTCTGATGTGTTGCCCTAACACCCCAAAACCCAAAGCCAATTTTTTTGCAGTTTCTGGTCACTTGCCTGGAATTTTCTATCCCCGACTTGGCTCTATGGCCGCCTTCTTCCTCTCACTCAAGTCCGTTGTTCAAATGTCATCTGTGCATGGAGGTCTTTCCTGACTTTATTTTAAAGTACGGGATCAGGGCAGGCCTTGTGAAAAAGTGGAATCTTGGAGTATGTGGTTCAAGTCCAGGCTAACGTGCCTGGGAAGGCAGTGGGTGATGGCCCAAGTCCTTGGGTTCCTGCCACCCACATGGGAGACCCAGATGGAGTTCCTGGCTCCTGGCTTTGGCCTGGCCTGTTGCATCATTGGGGAGTAAACCAGTAGATGGAAGATCTCTCTGTCACTCTGCCTTTTAAATAAATAAATAAATAAATAAGTGAAAAAAAAATTCAGGAGCAGACTCTTGATGTAGAGGTTAAGCCACCACTTTGGACGCCTATATCTCATATCAGAGTGCCTGGGTTTGAGTCCTGGCTCTGTTCCTAATTCCAGTTCTCTACTAATGCACACCCTGGGAAGCACCACGTGATGGCTTCAGAAGTTGGTCCCCTGTCATCCAGGTGAGACACTGCAACTCTGTACGTGGGTTTGAGTGCCAGCTCTGCTTCCAATCCCAGCTAAGCACCCTGGGAAGCAGCAGGTGATGACTCGGTGCTTGGATCCCTGCCACCCATATGGAAGACCGTGGTGGAGTTTCTACCTCCTGGGTGCAGCTTGACCCAGTCCTGGCTGTTGCAGGCATTTGGAGAATGAACCAGCAGATGGAAGGTCTTTCTGTCTCTATCTATCCCTGTCTCTCTCTTTGCTTTTCAAATAAGTAAAAATCAGAAAAAACAATTTTTTAAAATACAGGCTTCCTTCCAGCCCTCACTACTCATGTTTTTCTGCTTTTTCTCCATAGTATGTGTTTTCATGTACCATATATTCTGCCTTTAAAAATTACCAACCTAGGGGCCAGCATTCTGGCACAGTGGGTTAGGCCTCTGCTCATGGTGCTGGCGTGCTATATCGGAACACCAATTTGAGTACCATCTTCTCTGCTTCTGATCTAGCTTCCTACTAATGTGCTCATACAGCAAGCCGGAATCACAGGTTGCAGCTTAACCCTCTGCACCACACTGTGGGCCCTCTTGCTCCCTTTCCAACAGTACCCAACCAGCAGACAAACAGTATCCAACCAGCAGACAAACAGTATCCAACCAGCAGACCACACTCCTAAAATGAAACCATTCCCTCCAGGTGATTTGAGCTCTACAATCCCCAAGAACAGTTAGGAGGCTTTTTTTATAAACTTTTTTTAAAAAAAGATTTATTTATTCTATTTGAAAGAGTTACACAAAGAGAGAAGGAGGGGCAGAGAGAGAGAGAGAGAGAGAGGGAGATCTTCCATCTGCTGGTTCACTCCCCAGATGGGCAAGTATCCATTGCAAATGAAGAAATAGAGGGGGAGAGAGGGGAAGGGGGCAGGAGGAGAGGGGGAGGGAGCCCACACTGACCGCTGACCACTGACCGTAAGTGGTGGAGCTAGGGTAGGACCCAAATCAGTTGCCTTCCTTCCTCTTTTATGGTTCTTCCTGTGTTGGGTTCTTTGTCCATTTCCCCCACAGCACTGTGAGCACCTTTGGGAAGGGTGTGTGTCTACTTCCAGGCGTATAAGACTGTCTGGCCACATGGCTGTTGAACAAAGCAAGTGAGTGTGTGTGGTCCTCACCATTCCCGGTGTCACTGCAGAGGTTCCCTCTGTCGCGTGAACGCTGCCACCAGGAGCTCCCGTCTCTGTCCTTCCAGGTGCTCGTGTGCCAAGATGTGGTGTGGGTGTGGGTGGGTGAAATGGAAAAATCAAGGAGCAAGGTCTCTGTCCCCTGTTCTCAGCCCTGGTCAGACCACCACTCCTAGAAACCCCTCAGAGTCTCCCCCACCCCACCAGTTGCTCACATCAACCATGGACACACACCAGCAATCAGCTGCTCCTTCCTATTCTGCCCTTCTGTCTGACAAAGAAAGCCTGATACTGAGGGGAGAGGACTGGGTTAGCCCCTGTGCCCCACCCTGGGAGGGCTGGAGATAGTCAGCCCCCCAGAGTCCATCCAGACCTGCCCCTGAGTTCTCAAAAGTCTCTCCCTCTGCCCAGCAGATCACACCCCGCGCCCCGATCCGGCCTCCCCATCTCCTCCCTCTCTGCGGCCTGCAGCTGCCTCACTGCCTGGCAGGCCAGGTTGAGTCACTTCCAGATTGCACTCTCCTTCTGGTCAGGCCAGTTTGGCAAATCTCACGCTCCCCAGCCCCATGGGCCCCCTGAGCCTGTGGCTTCTCCTCCCCAGGGCCCCCAGGGTCCCTGAGATGGGGCAGAGCAGACACCTGGAAGAGCAGAGCCATTAAAGACACACACACACACACACCCTGCTAAATCTAGGATCCGGTCTCTGCTTTAGGCCTTGGAGTCCTTCTCTTTCCAGCAGGAACCCCAGCCTGGGGCCTGCCTCCCAGAACCACCCAAGCACAGGATCTGGCTGTTCTGCATTCTCAGGTGCAAGACTTTCACTCTGACCCTGGGTCCTTGTTAGGCTAGAGTCAGAGGAGGAGGAGGAGGAGATAAGCACTGCAACCCCTATCTATCTTCAGTGGGGAAAGGGAAGGTGTGGCCTGGGCTGCCCCGGGGTTATCAGCCTATCTGAGGCCCCTCCCTGCTCTGCTCCCTTGTTCTGACTGCCAGAGGGACTGAGGGCCCCAGACAGGACCTGCCACTGCTCTAGGGGTCAGCCACTTGCCAGAGTTCAGAAAGAGGTCACAGGGGAGGGCGGGGAATGGACCTCCTCCCAGGAAGGTTCCCAGACAGCTGGATCTCTTAGAGGGTGGACAGAACTAAGAGCCCCTTCATGGGACTGATAACTCTTCCCTCCTTGTGATGTCCCAAGATCTTTGCCATCAGCCCAGCAGAATCTGCTGGGCGTTATCTGTGTCCAAAGGGACAGAAGAAAGGCCCTGCCCCTCCCCAAGGCAGAAAGCAGCACCTAGAAAGGATGTGGGAGGGCCCTGGGTAGTCCACAGGTTCCAGGAACCCTGAGGACAGACCTCACCCTGCTTGCCTGGGAGGTGCCTTCCCCAACCCCAGCGTCTGGGGCACTGGGCTCTGTTTTGCAGCACCCAAGCCCTGGAGAGGCAGGGGCTGGGCAGTCCAGAGACACCCAACCCCTCACCCAGCCCAGGCCTGCAGGAATTTAGGAAGGCAGGGCTGGCCGCTGGTCACCTGCTGGGGGAGACTGGTTCAGGGACTGCCCTTCCATCTGGGTGCTCAGTGCTGCTCCCAGGCCCTAGATCAGGAGGTTGAACAGAGATGCCTGGTGAAGGGCATGGCTACTAGAAGAGGGAGCAAGAACTCCAAAACTGGGGGCCTCTCTTCCCGAAGGAAAAGGGGTTTTAGGTGAGAGGAGGGTGGAAGAGGAGTGAAGTGGCAGGGGTAGGGTCTTTACCCACCTACTTATCCCCCCAGGCTGTTCCCTGCTCCTTGACCTTCGAGGGAGTCAAGACCAGAAAAGGAGGGCCTGGCCCTGCCAAGTCAGTTGGGTGTGACTGAAGAAGCACTGGCACTGCCCTACAAGTTCCCCCAACAGTCCTTGGGATCTCCCCATCCTGACTCCTTCTAAACGGCTGAGCCCAACCCAGCCCCTCTGCCAGGGCCCCAGGCTTCCTGCTCCCTACTCCAGGCAGCCAGAAAGGAGCACAGGACCCAGGCGCTTCTGCAAATACATTTAATGCACTTAGATTACACAAAGGAAGAGGGGGCAAGGAAACGACATCTAAGTGAGTCACCCAAAAATTCTTACAAAAGTCCCTGGCTGGCTGCAGCCCCAGGAACCGAGTCGCCACTGACGTTAAAAACAAATTACAAAAACCTTACAAAAGTCTGTTCGTTGCAGCACTCAGGTACTGGTACAAAAGGAGGGACCTGCCTACAGGGCTCCTGACATCACAGGGACCCAGGCACCTCACTGGTGCTGAGGTCCTGAAAACCAGAGAGGATGAGTGGATAAAAAAATACAGTCACGGGAATCCTCTACGGTCTGCCCCACAGGGGCACTGACTCCAGGTTTTCTCCCTGCTCTCAATTCAATCTCTAAATCCAGTCCCAAGACCCTGTGTCTATTTTTTAAAATGCTCTAGCCCTTTAAAAAACTCTCCCCAAGGTCTTCCTAGTCCCTGTCCTGGAACCTCGCCTTCGGAAGAGGAAGAGACTGGCAGGAAGGTGCAGCAGCTCTCCTGCCTGACCCGAGACCCCGCAGGAGCCTCCCAGTGTCCCCAGAAGGACAGCTGGGTTTGTGGTCCTCTTGCAGCCCACATGGGGAGCCATGGTCTGCCTTATCCAGCAGGCAAACAGCAAAGGGGGGCTGCCTTCTCAGAAGCACTAGCACCAGAGACCTTGAAGGATGGGGCAGAACTGGGCAAGCCTCAAAGAAGCCCGAAAAAGAGGCAGACGCGGGCAGGGAGGCTCCTCACCTCCCTGATCCACTCTGAGGTCTGTTCCCCAGTGCTTAAGGGAAAGGGCTGCTCAGAGCAGCAGAGGCCCTGCCGTGCTCCTAGAGCCAACGCACAGCGGGAGCACTGATGCGGGCCTGGCCCTGCAGGATCTTCGCTGTTCCGTTTCCTGACATGCTGGAGGCAGAAACGGGCCACAGGCTTCCTGAGCTCAGCATCTCAGTGCTCACCTGCTTCCTCCTGTTGTCCCCTGCTTCTCCAACAGTGGGCCACCAGGCTGCTGGTGCCAGTCTGCGGAGGCCCTGTAGGCCTGGGGCAGATGTTGGCCAGGTGCCTCACTGATGAGCATGCTTAGCTCAGAAAATTGTCCCTCCTCACCCAACCCAGTAGATGGAGGCCGGGGAAGCTGCAGCAGGGAGCCCTCAAGCTATCCCCAGAAAGAGTTCTGGGGCGGTTTGGTCAAGATGGCAAGGAATGGAGACAAACAGATGGCACCTCTCTGCCAGTAACAAGACCAGAGCTTCAGAGGCAGGGCTGCGGGGGCAACAGCAGCCAAGGCCAGTGCACAGCTTTTTGGAAAAGCTCTCAGGGCAGTAAAAGGCACAGCTGCTGCTGACATCAGGTCCAGGGAGGCTTACATCTTGGCTGGGGGGCCCGGAGCTTATCTCCCCCAAGCCCTCCAGGATGATCTGCTTTGAAGCCTTCAAATGATGGAGTTACCCAGATAGCCCTGGGGGTGTGCAGGAGAAGGTGCCCCTTGGAGGTCCAACTCTAGTTCCCCGAGGAGCCTAGCCAGTGGCCTCATGACCCATGGGGGCAGCTCTTTGGCCAGTTCTCTCATCAGAGAGGTCCTGCACCCTTACAGGCCTCCTGGGGCACTGGGGTGGTGCCTGTGTGGGTGGCAGAGGCAGAGGAGTTCTGCATGGTCCCTGACACACAAAATAACTTTGCTCTGGAGTGGTCCAGAGGGTGGGCTTAAAGTAGCAGTCCCTGGAGTCAGAGTAAGAGGAAAGGGGCTTGCTCATTCCAGGACAGGGGTGGGAAATAACCCAAGAGGAACCCCAAAGCCATGGGCCACAGATTGGTTGACTTCTGGAAGGCAGGCCCTGAGATTTGTAGTCCTTGGGGTTTGGGATCAAGGAGCATAAGTGGCCGGGGTACAGGCAAGGAGACAGGACAAGGAATGGGGATGGAAGATGAGAAATAAATGGACGCAGGGTAGCTGGCATGTGGCAGGGAGCAGTGCTGGCAAAACCAAAAGTGAAAGGGATGGTGAGAGGTTGAGTTTCTGGTTATTAATAACCCAGAATCCTGCAGCCTAGAGGCTGGGAAGCCCATGGAACAAAGCAATGGGACAGGGGTGAGAGCTGGAGACCCAGGCCCTGAGGTGCAGTTGAGGATGGACTGTGAGGGGTGGGAAATGCCTAGAAGGTGAGGCTGGGGCCACCAATCTTTGAGACCCTGAAAGTCCCTGGAACCAGAGGGAGGCCAATTTACTTTGAAAAGAGCAGTACCCCTTGCTGGTCCCATCTAACCCGGGTTCCAGGTTGCATGGGGACATCTCTTCTCACCCCCTGCCCAGACTCCACCAGGCTCACTGGGAAGAAAGGAGTGTCTGTGAAGCCATCTCCTCCAGGCCCTGGGTGGCAGGCCAACAGTGGTCACCTTCTCTGGTGACAGTGCAGGGGGAGACACAGCCCCAGGCCCCTGTCTGAGAGAATGAGAAAATTCACCTGGGAATAAAGTTCTGTTTAAAAAACATTATGTACACGGCTTCTGGACATCTTTGTAGAGCAATAAAATACCACCCGGTTTCTACAAAATAAAATAAGGAGAAAGGAAACCAAACGTGAGGGGAGGAATTGTTCCGCTTGTCTAGCAAAGGCCTGCGAGACAGCTGAGCTGGGCAGTGCACCCCGGCACCTCCTCCTGCTGTGCCGCAGGCAGCGGGTGGGTGACAACGAGGCCTGCTCCCCCTAGGGGCACCTCAAGGGTCCAGAGTCAAATCTCAAACCAGAGCCTGTGGTGGCGGCAGGCAGCCAGGGTTGCATTGGCCCACACACTGGCCCAGGGGGACCAGGGCCCTGAGCGGGAGGCGAGGTGGGGCCTGTGGCCCGTGCACGGTGTCCCACAGGGCTGCGGGTGCGGTGGCTGCGCAGTCATCCTCACACTTGTCCTTTATTTGTGGGAATCTCCTTTATGCAGTTGTTACAACTGGAAGTCAGCTGGGAGTGGCCGGGCTCCCAGTCGGCCCTGCAGGCCCCAGCCCAGGCTAGTGCAGCGGACTGTCGAAAACTACGTCCGGCAGGATGGAGACTTTCAGCTTCTTTTCGGGCCAGCTGTACTCCTTGGGAAGTTTGCACTGTGGAGGGGGCAAAGACAGACCCAGAGAGCACATGGTTAGCAGAATTCACTGCCTTCTTCCCCAGAGAGGCCAAGACCCTCCCTCACCTGGGCCCTGCCCTGGGGTGCGGTGGGGAGGGGAGAGCAGGACAGGCCACTGGACGCCTGGCTTCACTCTCAAATGCTGGACCCAGGTGGGTGGCCGGGGTCAAGCTGCTGGAGTTCGGTGACCCCTTCCTTTCCCTTGCCCTGCCAATAATTAACCCGGGCTGGAGGAGGAGGTGTTTTCTAACTCTTTCTTGACTGTGCTGACCTCCCTCCTGCTCACTTCCTTGGTTCTGCCTCCAGCCACAAGCATGCTAGGAATCTGTTCCCTGAGGCCCTGGGGCTGGAGCACTGGGCTGGGGGAGGGGAGGATGCTATAGGGAAGCACTGGGCCTGAGGTCTGTCACTGCCCTGGCCTCTCCTCCAGAGCTGCTGCAGGAAGGACCCTGGAACCTTTGCCAAATGGCACAAAGGGAAGGAGGCCCTGGTTTAGCCCCAAAGTCAGACCCGTGCTTATGGCCTTGGAGGAGCTGAAGAGGCAGGAGGAGCAGGAGGAGCATGGTTTCAGGTGATTTCAGGAAGAGCAAGTCCCCACCCAGCTTCCCCTCCTTCATTCTCCTTTCCCTGGGTTCTTTGCCTAGGAGTGGTCCCGTCTGCCAAGGAGAGCCCAAGGTCTTCCTTCCCCACCCCAGGAAGCACTGACTGGGTTCCGCTTTTGTTTCTCCCATTCCTCTGGGGGCTTCTCCTGGGGAAAGGGGAAGAGGCTTATACATCTTATTCTGTCTGAATGCTGCAACCTCGCATGAGGCCTGGCACCCGGCTTGTGCTGGATAAGTGCTCCCTGACTTGGACTGTTGCTGGAGCTTGGAGGCAAGGTCCGCGTTTCGGGACTTGCACTGTCTGAGGTTAGGCCAGCAGTCAGGGTCAGGCTAGGCAGGACAGGACAGCACTCTGGGCCTGCATGGAGCTGGGCTGGAGGTAGACCCATACTTTCTGGCCTGCTCCCTCTGCCTTCCCACTGATGGGGGGCTATCCATGCCAGGACCAAAGTGGAGAGTGAGGCAGGGTGTGGGGACAGTCTCAGGACAGGAAAGCAAAAAAAGGAAAAAGTCATTTTTAGTGACCTACTTTCCTAAGCTCCCCCTGGCTCCTGTCCCTCTTGCCTGGACTGTCCCCCTCTCTGGCCCTCAACACCGAAGCTCAAAGCAGCAGCTTGGCGCAGTGCCACCCCAGTGCGACAAGGCCTCTCCGGAAGCGCTTCTGGGCAGCTGGCTCTGATCTGACTGAATGGGGAGCTGGGCCTCAGGGACCAGTGATTTCTGGGGTTTGATTGGCTGGCACAGACTGGGTGCTGGATGACTTTGGAATGTATAAGCGAATTAATTTATCAGGCTGCATCCCAGAGGACAGAGAAGATAATGCCCCTCTGGGGTGACCTCTGGTTCTGGAGATGTAGATAGGACAGCCCCGGCCCAGCCGGAACCTAGCACCTGCCTGGGCCCGGGGAGGTAAGCTCTCCCTCAAGCATGGTTCCTGGCAGACAGGGCAAGGGAAGGGCCTGTCTCTGCCCAGGCAGGGGAGGGCCCAGAAGAGCTCTCCAGAGGCCTGGCCACCAGGCACTGAGGCCAAGAAGGCTCAGAACCCCCTGGGGTGCTGGATGGCTAGGAGGCAGGGGGAAGGAAAGGGACTTTCCAGGATGAGGTAAGTCTCTGTGAAAGAGGATGCCAGGAACAAGGAAGAAAAACAACGGGGATTATGGAGTCCACTCCTGGACCCCAGGGGAGCAGCCAGGAGAAGGCACAACCCCAACCTGGCCTGTCTGCTCCCTGGCTCTGAGTTAGGGTGGAAAGAGGCCACCGAGAGGGGAGAGCTGATGGCTGGAGAGGAAGGCAGGGAGAGTGGCTCTTGGGTGGCCCGAGGCGAGAGCAGGAGTCCCTTGCTGCCCACCAGAACTCCCCAGTGGAATGTTCCCTGGCACCAGCCTTGGGCTTTCTGTTCAGAATCTGCCAGGGAACAGCAGGGGCTGGGGAGAACTCGTACTAGCCTGAAGGTCCTGGCTGCCTCTTCAATGAGGTTCTCAAGAACTGGCAATTCAGATAATTTGCTGGGTGTCCTCACAGGGCTGGGGGGTAGGGCAGGGGGTGGTGGTTCTTGGAAACCAAAGAGAAATGAAGCCATTTAGCATCCTTAGGGTCTCCTCCCAGGCCTATGCCTGTGCCTTAGAGAATCCCACAGACACACACACACACACACACACACGTGTGCACACATGCTCCTGGAAACTGGACCCGCTGTTGGAGAAAATCAAATAGGCTTACTTCCTCTGGAGAAGTCAAATCTTCTAAGTCCTCCAACATTTTCTCTACAAACTCTTCAGTCAACAGAATCTGGGAAGAAGGTACAAGGCAGGCTTCCATTATTCTTTTTCCAGTATATGATCTTTTTGTGAACAGCTAAGCCATGGACCTCTCTTGGCCATGGAGGAGGGATGTGGTTATCTCTGTGATCAGGCTGAGGGACAGAGGAAGTGTCTGAGGTCTAGCTCTATCATTTCTCTCCACACACTGCCCCCTGCAGTATGGGACACTCAGAGAGGGAAGGGCTCAGAGGACAAGGGGGAAGGGAGGTGGGGACACATGGCGGCTGGTGGTAGCGCTGGCTCCAGAATGGAGATGGGAAGTGGTGGGGAACACACCTTCCCTGTTGTGGCTGTTCAGGCCTCCTGCATGCCTCAGTGGTGCAAAGGGAACAGAAGTGCAGAGGGGCAGAAAAGTTCTGCCAACCTCCTCCTTGCTCGGCAGGGCTGCCGCATCCTCACCCCACCCCCGACGTGGTTGGCAACAAGAATCTCTTTGGATTTGCAACTCGAGGCCCGTCTGGAATCTGGAAATGTCCTGGAAAGGACATCGAAGAATATCTGAGCTGCAGAGCTGGGAGGCTGTGGACGGAGCTCTGTCGTTTTCTAGATGGAAAAGGGGCTGTCAGCTCCCGCCTCTACCCATGGTCTCCACATTTTCATGGGCTGCAAGCTCCCAAGCCCCAGCCCACTGGCCCCACTAAGCAACTACATTTTTCAAGGCTTCTTTGAGATGCCTCTTCTCAGGGTCAGTTCCCAGATTTCCCATTCTGCTGCTCTAGCCTTGCTTTGATGTTGGGACTGCCTGGTTGTGCTGGTACAACCACCATCCACATGCATTAAAGCAGTATGCATAGCTAATGGGAATGTCTAAGGATAGGCCATTTCCCCAGCCCATTCCTCTGCTACCCTGAGGCAGGCCAAGCATACCCCAGCCCTGCACCACCCTAGACCCTGCTGTGGATGCCTTTGCTCTTCCAAATCTGACCCTATCTCCTTCGCCCTCTCGTGCCTCCCTGTCCTTGTCTTCTTGGCCTGCACAATAGACCCTTCTGCACCCCAAGACTGTTAGCTGGCATGGACAGCAAGGAACTGAGGATTGCCAGCACCTGGACTCCAGCCCCATCACACCGCAGCCCCACGTGCTGCCCCCTTCCATACCAACTACAGCTGCTGGGTTGTGGTGGCTAGCCATATATGCAATAAAACAGCTGGCCAGGTTCCCACAATGAACTTTAGGTCATTATAATAAAATTACCATGGCAGACACACCCACTCTCATGTATCTGATGCCATGACACAAGACTTCCAAAAAGGACATGGAACTGGGCAGTACTCAAGCCTTGCTCCAAACTCTGTCCCCATTTGAACATTCAATTAAGTGTCACTTCAGACACTGCCTGCTATGCCTCCAGCACCTAAAAATGTAAGATTCCAAACTTTGTTAAGGGCAGCCCTCTCCCTTGAGGTTGCCCACACTTCCTCCTGAGTGTGCTATCCCTTTGCCTTTATGTAAATCTTGTTTCTCTGCTCACCTTTATCTACATATCCTTGAATTCTTTCTCACATGGAGATAAGAACCTGGACCAAGCCTAGCCAGGGGCCTCCTGACAACAGCTCAACCTGCCCCTGCCTCATCTCTTCTGCCCCCTCCACTAGCCCCTAAAAACCCTGGTGGGGCAGAGAGGAAGGAAGACAATGTGGTAAAGACCAAGGAGAGGGGCTCCCCTGGGAGAAATGCTCCCTGAGAAAAGGATGGGAACGGAGAGCTTGAGAGGATACCCATCAAGCTTCCCCTGGGAGCTGTCCCTTCTGATAAGAACAGAAGTTTCCAGTGGTGAGATACGGGGTGGAGTGGCAGAGCAGGAAGGTGCAAGCTGGAGCTGCCTGCACCCCACAGGACAGACCCTGAAGGAACAGAGGGATTAGGGGCTGAAGACTGAGAAAATAGCCTGGAGTGAGCAGGAAAACCACCCTCACACCAGGCACTGTGCCAAGTGCTCATTCTCTCCCAGCTCCTTCAGCCCCCTTCCAGACAAGGAAATTGAGGCATGGCTCGGGGGTGGAGTGTGGCTGTGACGAGACCTTATGCCAGTCATGGGTGGACCCTATAGTGAGTTCCCTAAGTCCTGTCCCTGACCCTCCACTCTCAGTCCCAGGAACGCCCTAATTTGCTTTTTCAGGGACACAGGCCGAGGGCAGCCCACTTCCCACCTGACAAGTACCCTTACATGGTTGGCAGGAGCTAAAAGACTCACCTTCCCAGGCTATGAGCCCATGGACAGGAAAAAACCAGCTCTGACCACTAGCTCACCTCCCACTCAAGTCACTCCTCCAGGAGCTCAGGCCTCGACTGAGGACAGAGACAAGGCGGACGTGGGGAGAGGCAGTCAGCCCAGGGAAGTGCCCCTTGACGTGTCCCCAGGTTCTTCCTCCAAAGTGGGACTGGCTGCTTCTCCCATAGCCCTGACCCCGCCTGCTGTCTCAGCCCAGGGGTGCACCCTCCCTCCCTGTAGAAGTGCAGAATTTCTCCACCAGTTATCACCAGTCTGCTTGAGTAGAATAAAAGTCACATTCATATGCCTGGCATTTCCGGGGCTTGTTGCCATCTCTGCAAACGCTAGCACAAACACAAGCAGACCTAAAACCCAATTCCGTGACAATGGCTCCAGCCGAGGCCAGGCTGGGCTGATTCCTAACCCACAAATAATCTGAAAGGAGGGGCTTTCTGCCAGGGAGGTAAATAGGTCTGGGACTACTGCTTGCGCTGGGGGTGTGTGCAGGGGAAAGACTCACAGAACTGTGGCGACCCAGTGTGACTGCAGAGGGAGCACGTTTCAACACCAGGAAAGTAATGCCACCAACAATGAGCTCAGTCCTGAGCCAGCTCCTCCTGCAAAGATCTGGAATTGATGCTGGGGGGATGGTGAGTTATGGTGGCTTTTAGTAGAGCAACCACCAAGCGTGGCACCATCTGTGTGTGGACTTACCCTGTACTCAGTTGGGGGAGGGGGTTGGCAAGACTCAAAATGGGGACAAACCCTAGCTGCTCCTCCATTTCCACTTTTGGTGATTTGCTGGTTCGTGCTGGAAACTTCACATTATTTTAAAAGAATTAAAGGGGAAAATTATACACAAGATCTGCATGGTATTAAGAGTGACTTTCTCCACAAAGAAACACGACAGACTGTCGTAGCTCCAGGCACCTAATTTAATTTCCTCTGGGAGTTAAACCTTAGAAGCTTGGATTGAACAAACAGGCCCTGTTCTTTGTATATTTCAGACCTGGAGCTGAGAATGTTAACAGATCTTATCAACAGGACACTGGAGATAGACAGCTAAGATGGAGCAGCTCTTGGGAGCGCCACAGGGAACAGACTCCCCGTTGTGATGCAACTGTGGGAAAAGCCTTTGTGGGTCTGGGGCTTGGAACTCCTGAAGCTCACTGGGTCCCCATGGAGCTGTCTGGCTCTGCCACAAAGCATAATGGGAATCACTATGATAGCAACAGTAATAGTGACCAATAGCAGCAGCAGTGCCCCAGCCCCCACGTGCTAGACACCATGCTAAGTGCTTCACCTGCACAATCTCAAGGAATCCCTAAGGTGGTCTTGTGGCGCGTGGGGAGGGTAACTCTTATCTCTACTCTGTAGATGAATGGGTGCCAGGAAGAGCCAAGTCTCCTGGCCTTCAGCACAGTGATCTGACCTCGTGGTGGTAGAGGAGGCTCCCTTCCTGTCAGGGGAAAGTATCTCAAATCTAAATACCAGTATATGGAGGGCTCACTCCTCAATCCCTTTGTATGCGGGAGGTGAAGGTGGCTTAGGCTTCTACCAGTAGCCTGGAAAACTAACCTCAGCCAGCCACAGAACTCCTGACCACCTGCTTAGCTCAAGGGGGCTGGATCCCCAAGACACAGACAACTGCTAAAAAACCAGATTGGTTGACCAACTGTAAAAGAACAATGCCCCAAGATGGTTTCCAAGCGGGGTTGGTGGGGCAAATTTCCAGGCCAGTCTGATGAGCACGTACATTTTGATAGTTCTCCTAGCCCAGAAAATAGCAATAGAAATAAGGAACAATCATGACGATGACAACAGCACTTATGGATGTTTGTACCCACCAAGAGTAGGCATAAAACATTGGCCTATGCAAAATAGCCTTTGGTGGAAGGCGACCCTCTCCTGAGACAGGAAAGATCCCCAACCCAGCTGAGTAACACACTGCCCTGGGAAGCTTTTGAACATACCAAAATGCTGGGCCCCATGAGACTTCCTGAATCAGAATACCAGGAGTAAGACCAGGGCATTTACCTTTTTTTTTTGATTTGATGTGGTTGATTTGCAGAGTTAGACAGTGAGAGAGAGTGACAGAGAGAAAGGTCTTCCTTTCCGTTGGTTCACCCCACAAATGGCTGCTACAGCCGGTGTGTTGTGGCCGGCGCACAGCACCGATCTGAAGCTAGGAGCCAGGTGCTTTCTCCTGGTCTCCCAGGTGGGTGCAGGGCCCAAGCACCTGGGCCATCCTCCATTGCCTTCCCGGGCCACAGCAGAGAGCTGGACTGGAAGAGGAGCAACCTGGACAGAATCCGGCGCATGGCATCTACCATTTTAAAAGGTGCCCCAGGAGATCATAGTGTGGGGGAGCCTGGGAAATACTCAGACCCTGATGAGAAGGGGCTTTGGGTGCAGGCTTAACCAACTGCAACTCCACTGCTACCCAGCCCTTCACTCTCCATCCTCACCTTTGGCCAGAGAGAGGGCCTGGAATCTAGGCCAGCAAAATACTCCAATGGGGCTCACACCAGGCACCTTGGGACAAGATGGCTGACCGGTGGTGAAAGAGGATTGTCAACAACCTGCCAATTCCCCAGGCCCAGCAAGTTCCAGAAAGGAACCCAAAAAGTGCAATTTCGTTGGAGCCTGCCCTGGGCAGGCCTGGCTGTGCTGTAGGCAGGAGCCCAGCTGCTGCAGATCTGACGCCGATTCAAATGTCTGTGGTCAATGGTATTTCTGAGCCGCTGACAGTGCCCACCCTCCCCACCCCGGTATGACAATCCACACTTTGTCTGGGGCCTGTTTGCTCTTCGTGTTGACACGTTGTTCTTGCTTCCCAACAAGTTTGGCTTTCTTTTGCCTCCCTTTCCTTCTCTCAGGGAAGGAAAAGTGTTGTTTACAGTGGCAAGGCCTGCCAAGGAGCTGCTCTGGCACCCTCAGTGGCAGCTAAGGAGGCAGAGACGAGGAAGCAGTCCTGTCTGCGTCCCCCACCTCCACCCCAGGCCAGACAAAAGCCAGAAACCAGCCCGGAGACACCCCCACCCCTCGACGTGGGGGTAGCAGAGGCATGTGCCTGCGGGCAGCGGGAGTGGGCTGCAGGGCTGCAGTGGGGCACAGTGAGGCCTCACTCACTCATTTCCTGTTCTCAGCGGGTGGTGACAAGTTGGCTTTGGTGACCAGAAACAGGCTGATTCCCTCTGCTCAGGCTGTGGGCTACTGGGGACACAGCAGGACGTCACAGTGCTTTCCAGCGAGGGAGGGAGGGCACTTTCTCAGGCACACTTCTGGGCTTAACGCTGACCAGGCACGTCCTGGACAGTGGGGCTTCTGGCACAGCCCAAGCAACGGTCTTCGGGGAAACGTGTGGCCAGGTTCACCAGCAGAAGGAGAAATGGTAGAGGAACAAAGAGGAGCTGCCCAGGGCCTGGCCCTCCCAGGTCATCTTCCCCACGACATCCAAATGCATGGAGGGGACAGGAAAATGCAGGGGCTTGTCCAGAGGACAGCGGTGAGTCAGCACTGGGCTAGCGGAGAGCTCAGCAGCCACCCCCACAGCTGCTGAGGGCCTTCGCCCAAGCCTGGGCCTCCCACCAGGAGTGCAAGAGAATGGCTGGGACAGGGGGCACCACTGGGGTGAACTGTCAGCCACCACACAGCTGAGAAAGCATTGCAAAGGCCTAAAAAAATTCCTCCTGTTTGGTGATGTGACCCCTCTGTGACCTCTGGAGCTGAGACATCTCCCCTTAGATCAACCCTGGCCAGGGAGAGATGGACGAGGAACTCAGTGCTGGGCTGGGCTCCGGCTCAGAAGGCTAACAGCCAGTGCTGACAGGCCTGAGGGAGAGAAGCTTGTCAGAGCCACAGGGTGAGGGAGTGCTGGGGAAGGCGGTACAGGAGCCCCCAGCCCAGGGTCTGCAGACCTCCTGCAAAGTCCTGGAGTTGGCTGACAGCTTTATAAGCTCCACAAGGAAGAAACAGCAAATGTCAGTGCAGACGGAGCGAAGGTGTCACCCTCGGGAGAGGAAAAGTTGCTGAAGCCAGTGTCAGCGGGCTGGGCTCTGGCTTCTGAAGCTCCCCACAGCGCTGGAGTGTCCGCTGTGCATCACCTGCGGCTGCGGATGGCTCTGCTCTTCCGTGTGCCGAGGCCTCACTCTCCTGGGTCTGCAGGGTAGGGAAGGTGCTGGGGCGCGGAGGGCAGCGCCAGCCCAGGAGTAGGTAGGGGAGGAGGCCTGTCTGGGGCCACTCCACAAACTCTAGAAAGGGGCTCATATTCCCTAACCTCCTCTGCTTTTTCCTCTCAGCTTCTCTGTTGTCACTCTTCCCCAAAACAGGGTGTCTTCATGCCTTTTCCCCAAGAGATAGCAGGCCTGGGCTGGCAGCCAGAACCAGGTGTCAGGGTTGCAGGTGAGGGCTTCCTGGGCTGATGCAAGAAAGCCATCCAGGCCCCTCCCGCTTCAGCTGGGACTCCCAGGGAGATCCACACAAGAACCAGAGAGCAGAAGTCTGGGTCTCTTCATGTCCTGATCTCCTGCACTCATCTCCCTCTTGCAAGTCTGCTTCCACCAGGCCTGGCACCCAGAACTGAGGCGACACCCCCAACCCTAGAAGTGTGGGCAAGAAATGCCAGCAAGGAATAAGGGCTGGCTTCTGCACTGGACACTCTGTGAGGGCAAGTCTCACCCTAGGCCTCTAGGAGGTCCTCTATACTGCTGGGGAGACAGCTAGCCCCAGAGGGAGACTCAGTGGCCCACAAGTAACTATAGGCCCAGATTCCCACAGCTAGGGAGCTGCCTGTGACCACAGTGGCAAGACCCAAAAGGGGAAGCCTGGCTGGCAGACAAATGCAGAAAATGCTGACTGCTTGGGGGGCGGAGGGGAGGAGACAGGGGTGAGTGTTGGCTCCCCTGCTGAGAATCCTGCTGGCTGGGGGCAGGGTCAGAAGGTTTCCCAGGGTTCCCTGGAAAGGGCCTGAGAAACCCCTCAGTGATCCGGGTGTGTGCTTGGGGAGTGGGGCTGTAGCCAGCCTTCCCAGGAGCACTCCTGCGATCTGGCCCCGTGGTGGACCACACTAATGAGCCCATAACATGGGCCTTTGATCAAGCAGCTCCCAGCACAGCAACTTTATTGAAACAGCAGCTCCGTTCCCACCGCTCCCCGGTTCCCTGGGCAACAGCCCATGGGAGGGGACCGAGCGCTGGGGAGTCTGCGGGTGCTGATCTCTGCAGCTTACACAGGGGCTGCCAGGGAGGTGAGGGCATTGTGGTGATGGGAGGGGGACACTGGCAGCCAGGGGAGCAGGGGCCCAGAAGCTTTAGAGGGACTAAGGGGCACTGCTGAGTCCTCTGGGTGCCAAGGCTCCTGGGATGCTACTAACCAGAGCTGCTGATCACTCTCTTTAGGGCAGGGAGACCCTCCAAGGGGTGGCAGAACTCCAAGGCCAGGGTCAGAGTTGAGGATATGAAACGTCACTGGGGGATATTTATTCTTGGGTTTGGGGAGATCCCAGCCCTCACTTTTCCAAGAAAATGTGCTTGAGCCTTCAGTAAACACACATGCCATCCTTGTACACTTCTGCTGAGACCTGTCAGCACTCTGTTGCCCCAGGAGTGAGGACCCGTGACCTCCCAGGGCTGGGTCTCCTGTACAGTGCCCACCTCCTACCTCCTCATCAGCTCAGCCCGGCTGGGGAGGGCTGCTCCCTCCTGCTCTGCAGGGGCAATGCTGGGTCTGTGGGGGCTGGGGGCAGAGCAGGGGCCAAGGGAGGCCCTTCCCACTTGTGCTGGGCTAATTTCAAATGTTACACTTTGGAGCTTTTGCTACAGTAACTACCAACACCACATGGACAGAAATCTAATGTTACCAAGTGGGACTTTTAAAATGTATTTATAACTTTATGGTTCAAAGTAATTTTGTTATGAAACAATGTAATAACAACAGTGGAAAAAGGCAAGATAATTTATGGAACACAATATCCCTAAAGCACTAGCTTCCATTTCTACCTCGGCTTAGTCTGGGGAGTGTGGTTGGTGTCCTCTGTTTGCTGTTTGTTTTAATTAAGGGTTAGTATTTTGGTGGGGGTGGGGTGAGGACTGGCCTGCAGGCTGAGAAACTCTGCTGTAAGCAGATAGACGGGGACTAAAAGTAAGGCCATATGAAGAGCAGAGGCGCTCTGCAGATCCCAGACTGGGTTAAACCCACAAAGCCAGCATAATTCTTTTCCCCTCTACCATACCACCCCCTTCCCCCACCCAGTGTCCCCTTCAGCACACCACAAATAAGGCACAGGTACCTTTTGGATTAGGGTCAGATTCTCTTTCTTGATACTCCTGAGAGAAGCAAAATATTCTTTTCTCCCCCATTCCCAACAAACAAACAAAAGCCAAAAAAGGATGCTGTCCCTCTAATATACTTGGAGTGTGGCAGACCAGACCAGAGCACTCCTCAGAGACCTGGGCCTGGGTGGGGGCTGGAAGGAGGCCAGTGGTTCTTAGGCCCCAGCACCCTGCTTGGCATTCACTCTGAAGCTTGCGCCAGCCAGAAGAGCAGAAGAGGGACAAAGTGTTCTGGACAAGCCAGCAGGTTTCTGCTCAGACCAGCTGGGTTTCCATCAGAAGGAACGGGGAGAGCCATTCGATGTGTGTGTGCAGGGGGCTGGGGGAGGGAGGCCCCCACCACCAAGGCCCGCCCATCCCAGTCCCAGGTCCAGGTCCACATGCCCACTTCCTGTGAATTCCATGCAGCTCCTGCAGAGTGGCTGTCATCCATCCTCCCCATCTTGCCTCACCTGTACCTTGGTATACCCAGGTGGGAAAGTATCCCATCTCTCAAACCTGGATTACCAATGGCCAGGGCCTGGAGAGTTATCACTTGGGTCTCATTGTATGATGAGGGAAGAGGCCAGGAAGTGGCCCTGGGGCTGCTGGGATAAGCAGTGGCATCCACACTCCACACCCACATACAGGCCTCAACCTCTGAGTCCAAGAGGTACTCATCAGCAGCCTCAGGAATGGGCCTGGCTAAGAGCTGCCAAGGGAGAGGAGGGCAAGGAAGAGCCTACGGAAAGAGAGGGGAGAAAAAGAGCCTTCTCACTTGCAACCAGGGTCCATGGGCCGCGTAAGGATGCTCCTCGGTGGCAAAGGCGCCTTCCACTCCCGTGGAGACAAACGTGATGGCCATGTCACCTGTGATACTTTTATACGTAAAGTGCCGTCCATGCAGGAGCCTGCCCCTGGGGGAACATGGAGACAGTAAGGAGCTGGGCCTGGAAACAGCCCAAGTGCAGTGGCCTGGCCAAAGGTCTGGGACCATGCTCCCTCGGACAGGGAGTCTGACAAATGAGACCAAACTGCCACCTGCCCAGGAAGAGGGGGCTGTAACCAGACACGTTGCTTTCTCCACCTTCATGGGAGAGGCCCTTCCTACACATCCTCTAACATCATCCTTCCAAAGAGCTCAATGCCAGCAGAGCACTAGGTCAGAGTCAGAGGGCCTGCACAGGTAGTGGAGCCCGCTGCCCAGGGTGCTGGTGACGGACCTGAGGCCAGACAGCGAAGTCAGCATTGTGCACAGGGTTGTGCCCAGGGTAATGCCCAGGGCTAAGAGGGAATTCACATCCCCTTGCTTGGGGGACTGGAGGTGTGGTAGTGCCTTCACAGTGGGACTGGTCACACACAGTGCCTGGTGGACTCTTCACCTGCTCCGGCACTTTCTCATAGCAGTTACAGGCTCTCCCAAAGGCCCAACCCAGTTTTTAAAAAAGCTGAAGCCAAGTGGGGTCACTCTGAGGGAGCCATCGGAAACTACTGTTAGCTCTCAGTCTGGAAATATACCTGGGGGAAGGGCAGGCAGGGACAACTAGTGGGCCACAGGCGCCAGTCAGCAAAGGAAGCAAAGCTGGCATTTTGCTTTCTCAGGCAGCCGCTGATTAACCCTTCACCAGCTCCAAGCCCGGGCCAGTGAGGCAGCAGGGGAGGACATGGCTGGCGGTGGGCCTGTCAGGTCTGTCCCACACTGACTTCTAGCTCTGCTGCTCAGGGTGGCTGGACTAGGCTGGTCCCTTTCAAACTCTCTTACAGGCTCCAGGGATGGTGGGGAGGGTCCAAACTGTAACCCCTTCTTCTTCGTCACCGTTCTTTGTGTTCAGAGCTATTCTAACCGCCTCTCTTGCCATCAGTGAGGGTGGGGCCCAGAGGGCTGTGGAGGAAGCCATCGGCTGCAATAGATTCAGCCAATGTAGTGTCCCCGAGTGGGACATTGGACTCTGGTCGCAGGGCTGGGTTTCTGGCAAGGACAGCAGGCGAAGGGACACAACTGGACTCCCTGGTCCCTTAAGAAGTCTGCTGGGCCGGCCACCAGCCTTGAGGAACTTAGTGTTTTGCATGGAGAAAACAGCAAGCAGGAGAAAACAGAGCCCAACGTACCAGAAGCCTCACCCTGACAGCCCAGTGCTGGTGACCCTGCCATCCAGACCCCAGGCTTTGGGTGGCTGGGAGTATCTGAGACTTCCTTGGTCGCTGAAGCTTCCTCTGGACCGAGGAGACAACTTCAGCAGCAAACGAGGATGGTGTGGCAACCAAGCAGTCAGACTGGAGACCAGTGGGGCTCCCTGGCCATGGTCCTGGGCCCACCAGAGGTTGTCACTGCTGTAGGCTAGGCACAAGCTACAGAGAGGAGGCCCCTCCCTCAGGGTGATCTACAGTGTTCACAGAGGCTGGCCAGAGGCCTAGGCAGGGAGAATACAGCACAGCACCGCTCAGTGACAAGCCAGCTACTGGCTGGTTCACAGTTCCCAAGCTCCCATGGGTCCAAGATGGAGCTGCCTAGGTTCTCCTCCCTCTCCTGCCCAGTCTGAGGTGTGCGGGTTGCAGACAGGCACCTCCCTTCTCTGCCAGGATGGCTGGAGTAGGCTCTGAGGTGCCCCCTGGAGGTCGATCTGGGCACCGCGGGGCCCGAGCTGGAGCTGTGGCTCACCTAAGGCAGAGAGGAATGAGGGCTCCTGACTCCTGGTTGAACTTCAGATGTACACTCTCGAGCTGTCGTGTGCGGATCAGCTCATGGGGAATAATGGCTGTGGAGCTGTCACTTTCCAGGCTGTCTTTGCGGCTCCTGCGAAGTAAGCACAGGGACAGGTTGAGCATAAGGTAAACAGCACAGGGCGGAATCAGTCTCTGGTTGGGCTCCTGAAAATGACAATAGTGGAACTGTCAATCATAATCCTATGTGTGTGCCAAGTGCCAGCCACCATGCTGAGCACTTTTCACTGATTGGGTACCGCTCACAAGGGTACCGCCCCTACAAGGTGGGAACTATTATTATCTCCCCCTTAAAGACAAGGAACTGAGCCTCAAGGAAGCCAAGTAACTTGTCTTAGTTGCATGATCAGTGCGTGGGTGGAGTGGGATTTGGTCTCAGGCGGGTCTGGTTCTGGAGCTAGCACCTTTGGCCAATAAGACACTAAAAAGTTAATGCCACAGTGGCTTGCTTTTCCTGTGATATTCTAGGAGCTTCTGGGAGCCCTTCCTCTCCTGCCCTGGACCTCAGACTCCTGGCTCTCCAAGGCTATGGTAGGAGAGCACCATGAGACATGTCTCCAAGACTGACCCTGAGAAGCTCAGCACAAGCACACTTTTGCTAGTGGCCAGAAGTGGCAGTGCCATGCATCCTCCTTCAAACCAGGAAGTGAAACAATCCCATGGAGAGGGTGGGAGCAGGCTCTTAGGAGTCACATCAGGGGGCCTAATGGGACAGCAGAGTTGGGCCCTCTCCCTGCTGGGCTTCAAGGCTCTGGGAGCCCTGGACCAGATCTGTCATGACTGTGGCCTTGGCTATGCTGGGCTGTTGCTGCAGTCTCAAACTCCCTCCTGCTCAGCACCTACCAAGAGCTGGCCCCACGTCCCTTGCATTCTAAGATTTGTTCTTTTAAACTTAGTTGCTCCTCCTGACAACTTCTCAAATCTGCCACAGAAGGAAGTGAGGGTCACTCACTGATCTCATTCAAAAGGCAGGATTCTGGTTTGGGCTATGAATCTCAGAATTCCCCAGGTGTCCATCAAAATACTGGGTGAAATGGTCCAGTTACTTATCATTCAAGCAGCAAGCAGGAGCCACCCAAGATGTCTGGACTGGACAGCCATGGAGGGGCTGGTCTAACCTTCTCACACATGGTGAGAGTAGTACTGAGCCTGGGGTCAGTAGCCAGCGAGGCACCCACAGGCAGAGCACTTTCTCCAGGGAAGAGTTGAGGTCAGTCGGCAGACAGGAGGCTGGGGACAGGTGGAGCTCCCGACTCCAGCTTCCTGCTGATACGCACCCTGGGCAGCAGCTGGTGTTGGCCCAAGTAGCTGGGTCCCTGCCAGTCTCATAGGAGACCTGGGTTGAGTTCTAGACTCCTGGCTTCAGCCTGGCCCAGCTCTGGCTGTTGTGGGCATTTGGGGAGTAATGGGAGCTCTCTCTTTTTCTCTGCCTTCCAAATAAATACAAATTAAAAGAGCAAAAAAAAAAAAAAATTGACCTTCAGCAGGAAGGGGCCTGCTGAGGCAGTGGTTTAGAAATGCTTCAAGCCCTGGGGACCATTCCCACCAGCTGGTCTGCTCTTGAGTATCCCCCCAGAGAACTGACAGCTTTTTCACAAAGCAGCCCCTTCCTCTCTTCCCAGAGACTTCTCCTTGGCAAAGGCTTTCACAAGACTGGGAAGGAGAGCAACACCACAGCCAGGAGGACCACAGTATTCACGGTATTCAGGACTGGAAGGAAGCACTAGGGTTGTTTAATCTACTGCCTTCCTTTCCGAAAAGGCGACACTGAGACGCCCAAGGCCACAGAGCTGGTCTGTGGCAGGCCAGCGTGGGAAGCTCAGACTTCTGACAAACTCTCTTTCCCATCACTGGGGGCTGCTACACCACCTTTCTTCCGAGGAAGGCGACACCAAGCACTGCCTCTCAGCCAGGCACGGGGCTCAGAGGTGACATGGGGGCGCCGTCAGGACCCAAACATGGGCAAAACTCAGGAAACGGCAGCAGCCCGTGTCTGTTGAGCCCTTGCTGGGTGTTGGGCCTGTCACTCAGAGACCCCTCACAGCAAGCACTGAGTGGGCTTTACTGCTAAGCCTTCTTTTACAGCTGAGGCCACAGCGTGTACTCCAGTGGGAGAGCCAGGGTGTGATGGTCCTGACCACTCCTGACCACAGGTTCCCACAGCCACACGCACCTCAGTGTTCCTGAAAGGGGCTCAGGCCTGGCGGCCCCAGGCAGGACCTGCTAGAGGAGCCAGCCTCTCTGGCTGATGAATAGCAATGGGAGGTGGGGCGGGGGCTGGTAGAGGAGGTTCAACAGTGCACAGGGCTAGGGACGTCTCAAGCTGGAGGGAAAAATAAATTGTTGAAAGTCAGCTAAAGTCACCTTGGTAACTGCCACAACACACTCACCCGGAACAGGACATCAAACTCAACGGCAAACAGCTTTAAAGAAATGGAAAAGAACTTAATCATCTGAAGAATTAACGTGGCAAGAGCCCACATTCACACCTCCCACCAGCCTTCAATCACTTGAAACCATACTTTAATCTTTTAAGAGAAAAAAAAATCACAAAATGCTAGATCTGCAGTCCTGGAGCCTGGGTATTTCCGGCACACTGCTTCAATGGAAATGCGGCTGCTCCACACACACACAAACACACACGCAGGAGCCTGGCTTTTTGCTGATTTGTTTTTTCTGGACATCGATGCAGAAGCATGAATTATTTGTGTGGGCTGGGTGAGGTATTAAATCTGCAGCCGACACAGGTTTGCAGTGTTTTGCGTGGTTGTCAGCTTAATCTTAGTCATAAAAAAATAAGTAGTGTGCTCGGCAGCGTGGCCTAATTTCTCAGCTGGGCTGCTTCTCCCTGAGTTGTCAGTGGAGGAGAAGGCAAAGCTTTAGGGCTAGGAGGGAGGGGGTCTCCCAAGGTGGCACAGGGACCGCTAGGGGTACAGGGCCAAGGACATGTTCTAGAAAACAGAATTCCACATGACCTTGGGAAAATGACTTACCCTCTCTCCAAGCTTGGGTATCTTTTTGATAGGAACAAGTAGCAGTGAGGTCACGGTAAGAATGATATGTGAGGACACAGATGAGACATCTAACAGTGCCCAGGATATGGTGGGTACTCGAAATACAACTGATGAATGTATTAATGTGTCAGTGTTACTTGGCTGCCTCTAAAAGTCTATCTGTTCCTCTTGTAAAAATGCCAATGGCTTGCCAGAAATCTGTTTGCCTTTGTCTTGAGCCCAGAATCCAACTGCCTCTAGCCAGGTCAGTTGCCCTCAGCTTAGGAAAGGTGACTCGTGAGATAGGGCTTGAAAGGGCCCCTGACTCCTTGAGTGGACACTGCAAACCCTGGTCAACCACTGGCACCCTTGGAAGGCCTGAACACAGGGCAGTCAGACCCCTTGAGACCTTTGTTCCATAGAGGGAGGGCCGTCTTCCTTTCACCAAGCAGTCTGTCTTCCTGCAATTCTCAAACCACTGGTCCTCAGGCCGCCCAGAAGTAGCTTAATCCATCTTCCTGTGACAGCCTTTCCAATCCCTGAGGCTGCTCTAACGGCCCATCAACAGTTTCTTGTTCCAGGATCTGTGGCCCAACTTTCAACTCCATTCCTGACAAAGTTCTGAAATCTTCTACCCATTCAAGTCACCCTCCCCTGGATTCATTCTGGCTTGTCATGCTAGACTGTCCTGTCTGGAAGTGAAATATCATGGGTGGAAATAAATACAGTGTGTGGTCTAACCAGTGCAGATCACTGGGGGACTATGAGCTCCCTTGTTTGGGACACTCTATTTCTATTAAAACTGTCATCAACTTGTCTACTCTTTGTAACCTCATCACACTACCAACTCACGCCACTACATTCCCTGTCAACGAGCTTTCCCCCCGGCTCCCTCCCATGGGCTGCTGAGGCCCCCCACCAAGTAGTTACTGTGGATTATTTGGAGCTAAGAGCAGAACTCTGCATTATCTGGATAGTTCAGGAGGTTTAAGTATTTCTGAAACCTGACTCTGGCATCCATCATGTTGGCGTTCCTTCTGACGTCACATCACTGACAAAACTGATAAACTTGCCATCCATGTTCTCCTCTCAGGCTTTGATCAAACAGCGAGTGGGACAGGGGAAGGCAGGCAGGCTGACAGACTGACATCATTACTCTTTGGGCATGCTAACTGAACCAATCATAAATCAACCCAACCTTCCCATCCCTGTGCCCCTCATCCTCCTGAATGTTGTCTGGACATTTCTGTCTTGCCTGTGTTGATGTCAGAACACTCTCAAACTGTGTTGCCAAACCTTGCCTAGACAAGGCCCATAGCACTTCCTCTGCCTACCAAGCAGGTAAACTTTCCTCAAAGGCAGTGAGCATGGTCAGGCATACTGGATTTTTTTAAAAATTTATTTATTTATTTGAAAGGCAGAGTTACAGAGAAGCAGAGGCAGAGAAAGAGAGAAAGATCTTCTATCTGCAGGTTCACTCCCCGAATGGCTGCAATGGCCGGAGCTGTGCCGATCCGAAGCCAGGAGCCAGGAGCTTCTTCCAGGTCTCCCACATGGGTGCAGGGGCCCAAGGACTTGGACCATTTTTTGCTGCTTTACCAGGCCCATAAGCAGGGAGCTGGGTCAGAAGTGGAACAGCTGGGACTTGAACCCAGTGCCCATACAGGATTCTGGCACTGCAGGTGACGGCTTTACCTGCTACACCACAGCAACCTCTCCTTTTTAAGATTTATTTATTTATTTGAAAGAGTTACAGTGAGAGAGGGAGATATAGAAAGAGAAAGAGGAGAAAGAGATCGTCCATCTGTTGGTTCACTCCCTGAAATGGCTGCAATGACCAGGACTGGGCCAGGCTGAAGTCAGGAGCCAGGAACTTCATCCAGGTCTCTCACGTGGGTGTAGGGGCCCAAGCACTTGGACCATCCTCCACTGCTTTCCCAGGTACATTAGCAGGGAGCTGGATCAGAAGTGGAGCAGCTGGGAGTTGAACCAGTGCCCATATGGGATACCGGGCTGCAGTGGTGGCCCAATCTGCTGTGCCACAGCACCGACCTGAGCTGGGCTCTTTGACTCCATTTTCCTTTGAGTGTTCACTGCCAACTTGCTGTGCAGAACCTTCCCTGAGAGTGATACTAAGCTCACTAGGCTAGAAAGCTTTTTGTCTTCTGAAACTTTTGAGTCCTTCCAGCTGTCTAATGCACCTCTTTCCCATTCCTGCAAAGATTCCTGATGCCCACTATAACAACCTCATCTGCCAATTCTCCTTCTGTTGTTCTAGGGTACAGCATGAGGATATTTCAAGAAGTTCATGGAAGGTAGAAATAAAAGTCTATTTTGGGGGCAGGTGTTAGGCACAGCAGTTAAGCTGCTACTAACGACGCCTGCATCTCATAGCAGAGTGCCTGGGTTTTAGTATCGGCTCATCTCTCCATTCCGTTCCACTAGTGTGCACCCTGGGAGGCAGTAGGTAATGGCTCAAGTAGTTGAACCCTTGCCACCCACGTGGGAGATCCAGATTGAGTTTCTGGCTGCTGGCTTTAGCATGGCCCTGTACTGGCTGTTGTAGGCATTTGGAAATGAACCAAAGGGTGGGAGATCTCTCTGTCTTTGTCTCTCTGCCTTTCAAGTAAATAAAATAACTTTTTTTAAAAAAGATTTATTTATTTTACTTGAAAGTCACAGTTATACAGAGAGAGAGAAGGAAAGGCAGACAGAGAAGGGGAGGGAGAAGGAGAGGAAGGGAAGGAGGGAGGGGAAGAGAGAGAGAGAGAAAGAGAGGTCTTCCATCTGCTGGTTCACTCCCCAGTTGGCCACAATGGCCAGAGCTGCGCTGATCCGAAGCCAGGAGCCAGAACCAGGAGCCAGGAGCCAAGAGCCAAGAGCCAGGAGCCAGGAGTTTCTTCCAGGTCTCCCACGTAGGTGCAGGGTCCCAAGGACTTGGGCCATCTTCTACTGCTCTTTCAGGCCATAGCAGAGAACTGGATCGGAAATGGAGCAGCCAGGACTCGAACCGGTGACTATATGGAATGCCAGCACTGGAGGTGGTGGCTTTACCTGCTACACCATAGTGCTAGCCCCTAAAATAACTTTTAAAAAATTAATTTTGGTCCGGCGCCGCGGCTCAATAGGCTAATCCTCCACCTAGCGGCGCCGGCACACCGGGTTCTAGTCCCGGTTGGAGCGCCGGATTCTTTCCCAGTTGCCCCTCTTCCAGGCCAGCTCTCTGCTGTGGCCCAGGAAGGCAGCGGAGGATGGCCCAAGTGCTTGGGCCCTGCACCCCATGGGAGACCATGAGAAGCACCTGGCTCCTGTCTTCGGATCAGCGCCGTGCGCCGGCCGCAGGGCACCAGCCGTGGCGGCCATTGGAGGGTGAACCAACGGCAAAAAGGAAAACCTTTCTCTCTGTCTCTCTCTCTCACTATCCACTCTGCCTGTCAAAAAAAATTAATTTTGGTGCAAAATTCTAAATTTATAAATAGTTTTTTCATAATATGCATTTTCAGGGCCAGTGTTGTGGTACAGTGAATTATGCTGTTGCCATATGGGAGCATCAGTTCAAGTCTCAGCAGCTTCAGTTCCAATCCAGTTTCCTGTTAATGTGACCAGGAAGGCAGTAGAAGATGGCCCAAATGCTAGGGCCCTTGCCACCCATGAAGTAGAACTGGATGGAGTTTCTTGCTCCTGGCTTCAGCCTGGCCCAGCCCTGGTTGTTGTGGCCATTTGGGGGTAAATCAGTGGATGGAAAATATCTCCATCTCTCACTCTGCCTTTCAAAAAAGTAAAATAAATGTTTTTAAAAAATGGGGGGGGCAGCGCTGTGGTGTAGTGGGTAAAGCTGCCACCTCCAGTGCCAGCATCCCATATGGGTACTAGTTCTAGTCCCAGCTGCTCCACTTCCGATCCAGCTCTCTGCTATGGCCTGGGAAAGCAGTACAAGATGGCCCAAGTCCTTGGGCCCCCGTACCTGCATGGGAGACCCAGAAGAAGCTCCTGGCTTCAGATTGGTGCAGCTCTGGCCATTGCAGCCAACTGGAGAGTGAACCAGCGGATGGAAGACCGCCCTCCCCGCCCCCCGTCTCTTCTCTCTCTGTGTAACTCTGACTTTCAAATAAATACATAAATCTTTAAAAAAAAAAAATAGGGGTTAAAGTTTTGGCATAGTGGGCAAAGCTGCTGCCTGTGATAACAGTATCCCTATGGGTGCTGGTTCATGTCCTGGTTGTTCCATTTTTAATCCAGTTCCTTGTTAATGGGCTGAGAAAAGCAGTGGAAGATGGCCCAAGCATTTGGGCTCCAGTCACCCATGTGGGAGACCCGGATGAAGCTCCTGGCTCCTGACCTCGGCCTGGCCCAGCATTGGCTACTACAGCCGTCTGAGGAGTAAAACAGTGTATGGAAGATCTCCTTCTTTCTCCTCTCTGTATCTCTGA